AGTTGCCGCAATCTATCGTGAAATGACTAACTGACAAAAAGCGACTTCAAATTAAGTAAACATGCCCATAAGTTTGAGACCATCAAATAGCTTAAGGAGATAATTATCAGAGCCATAACATTCATTTTTGGAATTTCTCATCCAAGCTAAGTCAATGTTCCGACTAAATATATAAGAAATACAATCAAGTTTTATAAGTAGGGAAGGGTAACACTCCTTAGGCAAAAGGATATACTTATGTTTAAGGTCAATTAAGATAAGTTATAAATGAGATAAGGATCAGAATATTACTTTAAGTGGCGTGCAAGTCGCCGAAATCTTTCGTATCATTTATATAAGACAGGATTCAAAATTAGTAGATGTAATATTTACGGAAGCCACGAGATGCCAATTAATGTACTAGGTGTCACATGACTAAAAGCCTTTATAAGCTCTGACCAATCTTATTGCAAGTTATGTAAAATATTTTGACTCATTCTAAGGTTGACCTAGCTATCATGTTCTAAGGGATAAAGAAGAACTATATAGCATCAATACCGTAAGCACAAAACTAGGCCAAAAAAATAGGTCCAAGGAAAAAAAGAAAATTTGCCTAACTTAATTTTTTAAAATAATAGGTTAAATCTAGGTAGCTATGCAAAATCACAAAATCCAGGTAATGAAAGACGTTTAACCGTGTCCATTACAGGACCGGAATACATAAGATAGATAACATAAGTGACAAAATTAAGAGATAAAAGTAGTATTATAACATTTAAAAGTAAAATTACCCTTTATCATTAGCGTATGGCTTCCGTTGATATATTACTCCATGTGCCCGTTCGGGAAGTGCAAGTTTACGGACACTCATCACCAGAGAAACGCAGCAAACTGAAGTTCAAATCAGTGGCAAATCATCATTGCGTATACGACTATGGAAATGTTTTTAGTTAATATATACTTTTAAAAAGTAAAAATATTTGTTACATAAATGAGTTATCAGCAAATTTGTTACATTTAAAAATAATTTCTATTGCAGGGAATTAGATAAGTGCTAATACAACTTTTTAAATTTATCAAAACCTTGTCTGAGTTATTCCCTCGCTCTCTGTCTACCCCATGTTCCGTTACCTTCTTGGTTCGACTTTCTGCCAGGCTGGTGTTTTTAGCGTTTACATTTTTTACCTTTATCACAAGCTAACTTATCATATTTTCCTCTAAACTGGAATATTTTTCTATTTTAGCCATGGAAACTGGCTTTAGCCCGTTGCTATACTAACACAGGGTTAAGTGTCCGGGTTTCACACAAATTGGGCAACAGGTTTGAGCTTTATGCCTTTCTCAGAAATCAATCACTGTTTCGCCTCACTCTTCCGATTCGCAGTTTTTCACGTTCTTCCGTTCTTCGAGAAGCCGCAGGCAAAGGCAGTTTATCGGGATGTAAGCCTCTCTTAAATTACGGCAGCCCCTTACCTTGATCTAATTATTTATATACCTCTTTTTACATCTAATAGCACCACGTTGGCCCGGTGACAAAAGGCAGATTCAGCTTTTTACAGTTCTCGGTGTGGCTGCATTCTGGTTCGGACTTTTCACATATGGTGAATATTTTAGTTCGCGGACCATCACTTGGAAGGAGTTTGTTGAGAACTACTTAAAAGCGTGCGTCCATTTTGCTATAATTATTTTGCAATAATTAACGTTACTTAAATGCATAGGTAAAATCCTTTCGGACTATGGTATCACTTTTCCGGCAGGATCTTTCTCGGCACAGTACATTGATCACTGACTGAAATATACATTTAATTTGTCCTAATCTTCCTAGCTAATCAGACTAATTTGGTTCAAACAATATATATAAAATTTTACGCATTAATATGCATTTGCCACCGAGTCATATGAAAAATGCTATTGGCATCAAAAGGTGAGGTTTTTAGTTCTGCTGACCTTAGACCGATTTTTTAACGGGTCTTTTTGGACTTGAATTGCGTAAATTCCTGTTCCA